ATACGTCGGTAAAGGAACATGTTTCACTCTATGCTGCAATACAACTCGCTTCTGGATACAAATTCATTGGGTTCGGGGCTTCAATCAATCAACGAGTGGTTTGGTTTATTTATACAGATACGAGATCATGTCAATCTGACGTCTTTCGTTGGAAATGGCAAGATCAAGTAGAAAGCGACATTGACCGACACGGTATCTCGTGGAAGGTGTTACATGTTGGAACCATGAGTGTTCGTTGACGAGATTTATAAGAGGTAAACCAAAAATCCTGTCACTAGAGTGGCATCTAGGTCAGTCGATACTCGGAGCCTTAATGTCACCCAGGATAAGGTGTGTGAAAGTGCATGTAGAACGAAGGTCACGAAGCTGAGTTAGGGGAGAGTGATAGTCCTCCTGAGTGCTAGATGGGGAGCGATAGACGACCTCCCGGATGAGTGAGTTCCTGCTTGGATAAACGATGTTGACCCATAGCGTTTCTATCGATTTGATGGTGGGATAAGAAACACGCAAAGCGGGCGGGAGGGAATTGTTAAGGAAGATAGCCACTCCACCCGCATGACCACGGTTTGAGACTTGTCTGAACAAGTTGAAACCATCTATCATTATTTCACTATCTAGAATCTGTTGGTTGATCCATGTTTCAGTAAAGGCTATAATGTGTGGTTCCTTACCACGGGCTAGATGCCGCAGTTCAAGGATTTTATTAGTCATACTGAGGCAGTTGGTTGATAAGCACTTCAGCACCTGCTCACTTTATATTTCAGCAGATCTAGTAAAATGGCAGGGGTCGAGGGGGTGATTTGAAGCGGTGGAGTTTCGGCCGTTTTGTTCAGGGGGGGTCATGGCCCCTGAGAGAGCGTCTTGGGGGGAAGAGCCATACGTTTGGCATCTATGCCGCCTACTATTGAGATACCCTTGCCAGTTTTTGGTGGTTTCGCTCTGTCTGGTGGGCGAGAGCGGTATACAGTAGGCATAAAATGGGACTAACGTATCTTGTTTTTATTGCAGTCTTGTCTTAGCTTTCTCGCAGGGCGTGATCTAGAGACGTTTGCCATGTGTAAGGGTTTAGGCACAAAGGGATTGTGTCTTTGGTTTTCCGGTTTGGTCGAATAAGATTTAGTTTGCACCAGGGTAGGAGCAGAGGCTGCCTTAAGGAGAGGATTACGTAGTAGCCCCTTCATCCCAGCTGGTGATCGGAAAGTGGGCACCTTGGTTGGGACTTTGACCTTTGCTGGAGCGTGGAAAAGCTTCATAGTTGATGATCCCAACTATTGTTGAATCGTCCGAGGTTGTGTCGGCGAAGCTTGCGTCGGGAGTGCTGGCGACTAGTGGAATGAAGGATAGATTCTTGACCTGTTTGGGTGCGGAGATATGAGGTGCCTCATCAATCTGCAGTCGCGTAAGATTGACTGCAGTACGCATTTTGAGCTTCTCATCCATTTTTCGCCACCCCGCCGTTTGACCAGTTTTCTAACATGAAGGAGAATGTCTCGGGACACGCCTGAAACGAGGATGACAATGGATTAGCGAATGGAAGACCGGTTCTTGTTGAATTCGGTAACCCGAGATACAGGGATATGTTCTTGGCAGCTTCAGCCAAGATCCACGCTAGTACGAATTCCCGAGTAAGGATAGAACCGAACAGTTTGATGCGGAAGAACAGCGCGGGCAGCACAACTATTACAGGCAGCAGACCATCCTCCCCTACAGATGCGAGGAAGTGTCTGCGTCGGGGACTAGCATCACCTGTGATATGCGTGACAAAGAATGTCTTAAGACCAAACCTACAACGATCACCGCTAAGCTGCACCACACCGTGGAATACAGTGGTCGAGAGGGGCATAAGTCAATGTGTCATCAACTGTGAAACGCAGAGGGATGACGAAAAAAACGGGGTCCGCACTCGAGCGTAAAGCTCGAGTGCACAAACCCTCCCTTAGGCAAAGTTCTCTCACACATAGGGCATAGTTGCCTCAGCATACTGTATAGCAATGTGTGCAGCTACTGGGTTGGAATGTATTACCCTAGTAAAGACATGGTTGAAGGACTGGGCAAACAAGAAACACCAATGCCCGGTAGGTTTTACCTCCTACAGGGTTGACAAGGGAGGGGTAAGAAACGGTGGAGTAGTCATGCTCCTCGTGGCCTCACACCTGGCGCAACTACAAGGGGAGATATTCAAGGTGGATTGTATTCAGGCTATCTCAGCAAACGTTACTACTGGTGGAAACAAACTCACGATAGTATGGATCCATCGCATCCCATCGGCGGAAGAAGGTGAAAGT